ACATGTCGCTCGTAAACGTCTGGTTGTTTACTGACGGTGGTTTGTAAACATTAAGTAAAGACATAAGTCGCTGTCCAAGCTGAATGTCGACGAGTATTGCTTCCACTGCTTTGCTTCTAATTCTCACTTGGCTTGAAGGAATGGATTTGCGAACATACAACAAAATACCTCCACCGCCTTTCTTGCGATCCTTACGGTAACATTCATGTTTGTTTGTTCAGTGCAGTTAATCAGTCGCCTAGATAGCCAAAGTAAGTTTCAGATGTTTACACTAATTTCCGGCCGCCATATTGGTGTACCACAGAGGAACACCAACATGGCGGCTCCATACTAGCTCTGTAAATTTGCGCGGAACATTGCGACGAATATCTCAACTTCGGGACAACGCACACACCTTAAACTTGGAGAACTTTCTTCTCTATTTATCTTTTATAATATCATAATTTCTTGACTTTACCCACTGAATGGTTTTTGATTTTATTTTTTATTGCGTGACAGTGAAAACGCTCTATAGACAAATTTAATTATTTTTTGTTTTTTTCCCAGAATGGGCGCAAAAGCAGCTAAAAATTGAAATAATCGACGTCCGCATTTTTCAAACATAAAATCTTGTATATCTAAAAATTGCCTCTTCCGGGGATAAGCATCCATTTTAACATCTAATCTAAGAATAAGAACACTGTCAAAAACTTACAATTTACGGTCTTCGGCTTAAGTTTTATCAAACAAATGAGAAACACTCAGTTTCCATTTTCCTATTCACTATGCTAGCAAAAATTTATGGCGCTATGAACATGCGTTGGATTATTACCGCATTTCCTGGATTATTATTAGGTGGTAGTGTAGCAGACGTAGCTAGGCTAAAAATGGGTTACTCCACCTTCAAGTACAGAGAAGAAGCTAATCCTATTCTTTCACTAAGGACATTCCACAAGAGGGAGGTATCGATTTTAGACGGAACATTACACGAAGACGATATACGTTTATTTTGTGTCGCACAGTTCCGCTCTTCCGAAGAAACACATAGCTTCGGTTTAAAGAAACGTAAGCTGCAAAATCTGTAGCGCTCAGTAGCAGTAGCAGCAGCAGTAGAAGTAGAAGTGGCAGTAGTAGCAACAGTAGCTGTAGCAGTATCAGTAGCAGTAGCAGTATCAGTATCAGTAGCAGTAGAAGTAGCAGCAGTAGCAGTAACAGTAGCAGTAGCAGTAGTAGCAGCAGTAGCTGTAGCAGTAGAGTAGCAGTTGCAATAACAGTAGCAGTAGCAGAGCAGCAGCAGTAGCAGAAGCAGCAGTAGCAGAAGCAGCAGTAGCAGAAGCAGCAGTAGCAGTAGTAGCAGCAGTAGCTGTAGCAGTAGCAGTAGCAATAACAGTAGCTGTAGCAGAGCAGCAGCACTAGCAGAAGCAGCAGTAGCAGTAGCAGTAGCAGTAGCAGCAGTAACAGTAGCAATAGCAGCAGCAGTAGCAACGGCAGCAGTAGCAGTAGCAGTGGCAGTAGCAGCAGTAGCAGTAGCCGTAGCAGTGGCAGTAGCAGCAGCAGTAGCAGTGGCAGCAGCAGCAGTAGCAGTAGCAGTAGCAGTAGCAGTCGCAGTAGCAGTCGCAGTAGTAGTAGCAGCAGCAGTAGCAGTAGCAGTAGCAGTCGCAGTAGCAGCAGTGGCAGCAGCAGCACCAGTAGCAGTAGCAGTGGCAGTGGCAGCGGCAGCAGTAGCACTAGCAGCAGCAGCAG